AGGGAATCCTGGAGAATGTTGAAGACAGACCCAACTTTGTTGCCCACAGCCAATATAAACAAAAAATTGGTGTCTCTTCAGAGCTTGGGATAAAAACTTGGATTTTCCTTTTCTTGATTTGATAGCAGTGGACAAGTTACTGCCCAGACAGCGGGGAAGGATTTCCTTGGGTTTTTATTCAGTGGGAATGAGGGGTTTGGGCAGCAAATGGATCCATTTAGGCTGAAATTCCAGATAAAAATAAATATGGAGTGCAGGGCTCCTCCCATGTGGGATACTGGAGAAGATTTTGTTGTTTCATGCATTATCACATCATTCCATGATGGTTTGGCCAGGCTGGATTGGGCTTGGAGCCACCTGGGACAGTGGAAGGTGTCCCTGTTCATGGGGTTGGGACTGGATTTCCAACCCAATCCACCCTGGGTCAGATGCTGGGATCTTTGGCCATTTCCTTGCTGTTTCTCTGCAGTCCATTGTCCCTAAAATTTATGTGCAGAATCTTTCCCAGGATCACAAACTGGTTTTCCCTACATGTGAGAAGGAAACAGGAAGGGATCAGGGACACCTGGACACCAGGAAAGGTTTCCTGCCTTCTCTGACCCAGCTCACAGTGAGATCCAGGAGATCACAGAATTCCCAGTGATTTTTGGGGGATCCTGGAAGTGAGGTGGGGCTGGGCATGATGGAATATGGGAAATTTCCATTCTGGGTGCTGAGGGCCAGGCTGGATTCTGAGCTCTCCAAACCTCCCAGGTCTGCTCCAGGACCGTGCCAGGCTCCACATCTGCTTGGGTGAAGTTCTCCTCTTGCTCACTGTGAATGGGTCAAAACAAAATCCCTGACAAAAAGCGAAGGGGAAGAACCGAAATGACTCCAAACCTCCTCTGGGAAGTGATGGTTAAAATCAGAAATTTGGGGTTTTGCTGCTCCATGGCCCTGTTGTCACAGGTTAAACACAGACAGAACCGTCAGCAACCCCAAATCCCAGCATTCCCTGTGTCCTGTATCCACCTGGGAAACAGCCAGGGGTCCACAATTCCTGTGTCAAAGCCTAAAAATGGGGCAGAAAATGGTGCAGAACTCGATGTATTTAATGGCAGTGTTGGAGGAAACTGGAAATGGGTGAGGCAGGAAAATTCTGAGGCATTAAAGGAAAATTTGGGGTTGATCAGGGAGGGGGGTGGGAAAAAGCCAGCTGAACCTGATGAATGCAAATAGGCCTTGCTTGAGATCCTGAACCGCATTTTGTTACTTTGAAAATATAATTAATGAGGGAGGGCAGGGACTGTTTGTGAGGAGTTTGAGGACAAAAGTTGTTTCATCTTGGGTTGTTTTGATCACATCCTCATTTTTTGGGGCCTCTTCGGAGCGAGGCTGGCACTTTGCTGAGTCTCAAAGAACAGTTACAGATTTATTTGCAGATTTGCTGCTCCTTCGGAGCTCCGTGTGCTGGTGGCGTTCCCAAAAATCTGCTGGGAAGGGTCTGCAGCAGCATCACCTACGTTTTCCTGGTTAATCAGAGAATCCTGGAATGGTTTGGGCGGAAAGTGGCTTTAAAGATGATTCCATGCACCCCTCCCACTATCCCAGGCTGCTCCAAGCCCCAGTGTCCAACCTGGCCTTGGGCACTCCCAACTCCTTCCCAGCCCCATCCCCACCCTCCCAGCCAGGAATTACTTCCCAATATCCCATGAAATCTCTTTTATAACCATTTATCTCATTTGTAACCATTGCTCCTCATCTCTGCCTGTCTAAAAACCCCTTAACCTCATATTTCTCTTTCATGTCTGTGTCTCACCCCATGGAAACTTCTCAGCGATGCCTAAAATGTAACTGATTACACAAAATCCATGGCATGACTCAATTTTCTTGGCATTTTGGAATGCCCTCCTGGAAATTTACTCCTGGAAACGGAGGTCCAGGAATCTACAAATGAGGAAAATCCAAGCCACGGTTTTAATGGATTGCTGGATGGAGGAAATGATACAAAAACACCTTTTTCCTTTACCTGGTGGTTTTGTATCAAGCTCAACTCCGGTGTTCCCAACGTGGTTGAAATCGGGAAGGTCTGAAGGGATTTTGGGAACCTCATGCAGAGTCATGGAATGGTTTGGGTTGGAAGAACCTTAAAGACCATCCAGTTCCAACCCCCTTTCTGCTGGCAAAAAACAGCTTTGATCCAAATTTTGAGGTTCTGCCTCCTTTTCTTACCTTGGAATTGTTGCTTTTCCACAAAGGAAAGTTACCCTGACTTCCCTGCTAGACTTTGTTCAGTCCTAGGCAGGAGAAACTGCTGAAAACTCAGAAATAAAAATAGTTTATTGAGGTTATGAGCAACTAATTTGGGCTGAAACCTCGCTCTGGTCGTGCCCATCGATTTTTTTCTTTTTTGGTTTTCCCTTGCCTGAAAAGGATCTGCATAAAATATTGAGGGGTTTTGTGTGTGTAAGCATTGTTTGAGCTGTTATTTCCACACAAAAAAAAGAGCTCAGCTCGTGCCTCAGAGTTTAATTCCGTGGCAGTTTCCAACTGGTTCATCCTCGTGATTCCGACTCGGTAGTGCTGATTCCTGGGAATTGGTTGAGGCTTTCCCAAGGGAAGGAGAACTGCTCAGTGAGGAAAAGTGCAAAAAATTCCATCTTGATTAAAGCCATGAAACTTCCTTGAGTAAATATAAGTAAATGAATAATGTAAATAACTTAAATTATAAATGAATAAATAAAGTTCAACCCGTTGGATACTTCAAGATGTGGTTAGAACTAGGGAGCAGCATCCAAAATTATTCTTTTCCTGGAAAAACACCAAATTTTCCATTCTCTCTTTAAAAAGTTTGCTTTCCTCAATGGAAGAAGCCTCTCCTACCCTGTGGGAATGAGGGTAAATAGCTCAAATTCAGGCTTTTCCCCCAACTTTGAAAAGACAACCAAGTAAATAAATAAATGTGAATTCTTTTCCCAGTTCTGGAAGTGTTAATTCTTTTCCAGGGGCTGGGAGTGCTCATCCAGCGTGGAATTTGCAAGTCCCAAGGAGTTGCGTTGTTCAAGGAGATACCAAATTACCAAACATTGAGTCTGAGTTAGCAAAATTGAGCCTGAGTTGCCAAAATTGAGTTTGAATAAGCAAAATTGAGTTGGAACTAATGAAACTGAGTCGGAATAAACAAAATTGAGTCTGAATTCAAATTTTCACCACCCGTGGATGGAGAAGATGGAGATTTTTTAGTTTTGTATAAAGTATGGAATCTCTAGAACCTTCCAGGGCCTGAAGGGGCTCCAGGGGAGCTGGAGAGGGACTGGGGACAAGAGATGAAGGGACAGGAGCCAGGGAATGGCTCCCAGTGCCAGAGGGCAGGGATGGATGGGAGATTGGGAATTGGGAATTGCTGGCTGGGCTGGAATTGCTAGATTTGCTGTGGCTGCCCCTGGATCCCTGGCAGTGGCCAAGGCCAGGCTGGACATTGGGGCTGGAGCAGCCTGGGACAGTGGGAGCTGTCCCTGCCCATGGAATGGGTGGGAATGAGGTGGGATTTAAGGTCTTTCCCAACCCAAACCATTGTGGAATTCTGTGAAATGGATCCAGGACAGAGGGAACGGGGAGAGAAACCCAGGGAACTGGGAAACCTCGCAATGGAAATCGCCATGAACAGTGGATATCAATCTTTATCTTCTGTCCTTCCACCCAAACTGGGGATTTGTACAATTTCTAATCAGTATTTTTGTTTTGTTTTCCATCCGGATGGAAAAAAAGCTTGGCTAAACCTACAGACATCCTTTGGCACAGCTCTGTTGGGAAAGAAGGGATTTTAGGGTTGTGTCAGGAGCATTTTACATTCAGTTCTTCAAAAAGTTGTGTGCTGGAGAGGTTAAATGGCTGATCCTGAAGCATTCTCCCAAAAATCAGGATCATCCCAACCCTCAGGTCCTTGATGTCAATGGGGATGGGTTTTGGGGGAGTTTTGGGTTCATTTAATGAAAGCTGAGTTGAGTGAGATGCAGGAATATTTTGTTCTTGGAGTCTGAGGATGGAATGCCAGGATGAGATGCTCCTTTAGGAGGAAAATGGTGGGAAATGAGGTTTTCCAGAGATGCTGTGTCCCTGTGTTGGTTTTCCCGCCAAACTTTCCCATCTGGAACCTTGAGATTTCCTTATCTCTGGTGGGAGGTAGAGAATGAATCGGATTTGTAGTGGAGGTGTGAATAGTCTTGGATGCAGGAGGGATTCCAGATGGATTGAAGGTGACCTCACCGGTTGTATCAGTGATTTTAGGGTAATGGTTCCCCTTTTCTGGTGTTCTGACAGGACAGGGATGAGGAAAAGCCTGGAAATCCCTCCGGAGATGGAAAACAATCCCTGAAATCTCAGGAATTATTTTGGTTGGCAGCAGCTCAGCCCAATTTAGGTGCTGGGACTTCCTATTTTCCATTGTGGAGGTGACAGCACTTCAGAGCTGTATTATCCATGATGGAATTTAATAAGGATTTAAGATTCTGGGGGAAAATTATCCATGTGTTTAACACAAGCTTTGGAAGATCCAAAGGTTAGGGTTAGGTTTAGGGTTAGGGGTTCCACCAAAGAATCCCAGAGTTATTGGGGTGGGAAGAAACCTTCAAGTTCATCCTATTCCATCCCATGAGCAAGGACACCTTCCACCATGCCAGGCTGTCCCAAGCCATGTCCAGCCTGGCCTTGAGTTTTTCCAGGGATGGAGCATCCATTGGCTCTCTAGGGAGCCAGTGTTTCATCCTAAAATCAAATAAAATCTCCACCTGATATCTCCTTTACTTCCCCACAAAAAAAAAGCTCAGCTCATGTCTCAGAGTTCAATCCTGTGCCAGTTTCCAGCTGGTTCATCCTCGTGATTCCAAGTCATTGCTGTGCAGATTCCTGGGAATAAAATCAAAATCCTATGGCTGCAGCCCCTTTAAAAGCACATTTAGGCCTCCAGTGAAGCCAGATTTCTGCTTTATTACAGAAAACTGTTCCTTTCTTTGGTGTTTCAGCCTTAAAAAAAGGACGCTTTTGGATCACCCCTGACCCGTACCACAAAGACGACAACATCCAGATCGGGCGGGAGGTGAAGATCTCGTGCCAGGTGGAGGCCATCCCCTCGGAGGAGCTCACCTTCAGCTGGTTCAAGAACGGGCGGCCCCTGCGCAGCTCGGAGAGGATGGTGATCACCCAGACCGACCCCGACGTCTCCCCCGGCACCACCAACCTGGACATCATCGACCTGAAGTTCACGGATTTCGGGACCTACACGTGCGTGGCGTCCCTCAAGGGAGGCGGCATCTCGGACATCAGCATCGATGTCAACATCTCCAGCAGCACAGGTGAGGAGCAGCTCCTCGGGCTGGGGTTTGGGTGGGTGAAGGAGCCCCGTGGTGGAGAAGGTTGTGTGGAGACCTCCCAGCGCATTCCAGGGGCTCCAGGGAGGGAATGTTCAGGAATCAGGAACTGGGGACAGGACACAGGGAATGGCTCCCAGTGCCAGAGGGCAGGGATGGATGGGAGATAATTGGGAATTGGGAATTGCTGGCTGGGCTGGAATTGCCAGAGCAGCTGTGGCTGCCCCTGGATCCCTGGCAGTGCCCAAGGCCAGGCTGGACCCTGGGGCTGGAGCAGCCTGGGACAGGGGTGGCACTGGATGAGATTTAAAGTCTGTTACATCCCAAACCATTCCATGATTCCATGATTTTACTATCAGGAAAAGAACCAGGAGGATTCTTAGAGGAAAAAAACTGACTTTGGAATGATGGATGAGCATTCTATACAAACTTTGTCACCTGCCTGCCCAGGTGGAGCAAACAGTTCTGTGTGTGCACTCATACATCCAATAACTACTGAATTCCCTGGACTTCCCTGGGAATCCTTAGGAAAACTGATGGGATTTCCTGGAAACTTGTCTTAGTTGTCTTTTCCTGTCAGCAAGCCACAATCCCTGCAGGAAATGATGAATTCTGTCACCTCTTAAATTTCCTGTCCTGGAACGCTCCAGAAAATCAGGAAAAGGGGGAAGAGAACATGGAATTTGAGCTCAGCCTTTTTTAGCATCCGAACAGGAATTCTGCTCTTGGAATGACTTCATTACCCAGCCAAGTGGAAGCTGAAACAGTTGCAGTGCTTTGAAGGTCATTACTGATTCATCAAGATTCATTACTGCTCTGCTAATTAGGAACAGAAGGCCCAGGCACAAACACATTTCCCAAATGCCAGGACTTGCAGGCATTTATTAACGTCCCTCTGGATGTCTGGGATGGATGGGGGGGAATTTCCTCTTCCTGGTGTTTGTGCAGCTCCTCCCGGAGTGGGGCAGGAGGGGCTGTGTCAAATCCTAAGGAAGGAGGAGATCCATGAATTCTCCTGGACATTGGGAAGGGACGTGTGGCTCTGGAATGGCACATGTTTATCGGGAATATTTTTTTTTTTTCTCCCCTTGACATTTTCAGCAGGAAAACCAGGGATTTATGTCCTGAGTATCTTACATAAATGGACCTGAAGTAATCCCCTCGCTGCTCCCCCCATATCTCAATAAAATAGGTCAGTGAAGAGTGGGAATCGAGACTCGAACGTGGAATATCTGCCCTAGAAAAGCCCTGTCATCCATAAAACCCACCCTGGGCAAATGTTACCGAGAGCCAGGCTGGGTTTTTCAGGAGATGTGGGATCATGTCATGGAAACCTAGAGGCAGAAGATGCTAAAAAAGCACCGAGATGTTAAAAAAGCAGCAAAAACCTCGATAAAGTGGGTTTGTGGTAAGCGAAAAAAGAAGAGGTGGATCAGAGGGTGTCAGCCTGTGCCAGGGATTTTTCCTCTGCCTCAAATATTGGATTGAAGCAGGAAGAATCAGCTTTGGGATTGGGATGGTTTTCTTTGTGTCAGGACACTGCTTCTATTCCCCAAAATCAGTGTTTTTCCCTGCTGGTTCATTCCCTTTCCACCTTTTCTCCGGAGACATCACTGAGCAGGGAAGAGATTTGTTATTTGGGGGTATTTTCCTTTATTCTCTGGTCCCTCTTTTCCTAAGGGAGTCCTTCCTGTGGCTCATTTCCACCCCGTGTGTGGGCACAGCCAGATGTCCCACGTGGAAAAACATCCAACAAGGATGAGCCTGAGGGTGTGCTGAGCTTGCGCCACCTCAGGATGGGAACATCCCGCAGCAGGACAGGGATTTTGGATCCCCAGGGCAGCCTGGAGGCCTCCAGACCTCATGGAATCATGGAATTGTGGAATCATGGAACTGCTTGGGTTGGAAGGGATCTTTGAGGGGCCACCTTCCTCTATCCCATCTTGCTCCAACACTTCTAGGGAGAAATTTGTTTTTCCATAAATTCTGCTACATCCAGGCAGAGAAATTCTTGGAGAACCACTCCGTGTGAGGCTCTGCGATATGAAAAGGGCTTCCCTGTCAAGCTAATCAGCTCTCCATTAAATAATGAATTAATTAGAGCTGCAGGCTGCTGTTCCAGGACCTGCAGCCTTGATCTGGTGGTGCCACAGGAGTCCTCTGGTCTGTTCCTGCTTTGATGAGACATGAAAGAGGCCTTGATTCCAGCTCGGAATGTTTGTTGGAATCACAGCCGGTTGCATAACGAGGATGTGGGGTTTGGGAGGCAATTAGTGGCTAATTAAGATATTTGTAAACCTTAAGCACCTTCCAGAGCGGATGGTTGTCGGCGCCCTCAGGAAACAGGCCTTTGGTTCTTGCAGCAAATGGATGGGATGGGTGAGCTGTTATCCTTGGAATTTATCCTGGGAAGGAGCAGGAGGGACAGAAAAACGCCGTATTTTGTTAAATATCTTTTATAGTTCCCTTTAGTTCCTTTATAGTTCCCTTTTCCTGCTTAATGTGTGGAGTTTTCCTTGTTAATTCCATCCTTAGGAGCTCCTTCCTGTCCTGCTCTGTTTTCCCTTGGGAAATCTGATTTCTCTGGGATAAATCCCAGGTTGATTCCAGCAGTATTTCTGGGAGCTGACACCCTGGGTGTGGCAGAGGATGGACTCCTCATCCCGTGGTTCTCCTCATCCGTGGGTGCTCCTCGGCACGGCTCCTGCAGAAGCGCTGGAATTCATTTCCCTCATTTGCTGCTGGCTCTGCATGTTCTGGCTTTTAAATGTCCCTCTTGCCCCTGGCTGCAGAGCAAGGTGGTGGTTTAGGGCCTTACTGCTGGCTTCCAGGCACTGATCCTGGAATTATTTCCCTGCCTGGGAAGAGTTTTTGTCCAAAAATGAGGATCATCCCAGCCCTCAGGACTGGACTCTTTGTCCAAGGCCTCACCATCACTTCAGGGTGAGAGGAAACGGCCTCAGAGGTGGTTTAAATTGTATCTCAGGGAAAATTCAATCTCAGAAAGGGTGGAAAGGCTGTGCAGGGGAGTTCTCTTCCCTGGAAACATTCAGGGAATGTGTGGATGCGGCACTTGGGGCTGGTGGTGGCCACGGTGCTGGTTGATGGTTGGACTCGGTGATCTTGGAGGGCTTTTCCAGTTTAAAGGATTATATGATTCCATAAAATCCATGGTGGATATTGCATCCTCATGTGCACTTAGGAGTGGTTTGTGCCCCAGAAAACATGGAATTTCCCCTTTGGAATTTAGACCTTGCCTGGGGGGACACAGTAGCTGGAATGAAGGGAAAACACCCATGAAATCCAGCCAGGAATTCCTGACAGGAATTCCATTTCCCTTCCTCACCAGTGCCTTGATGGACCCTCTTCCATGGGGATGAAAAGCCATGGAAAGGGTAAAGGAAATTCTCCTGAGTTTTCTTGGCTTCAGCTGCTTTTCCAATCATTTTCCTGGATCAGCAAATCTCTCCTCGGGCTCTTCTCTCACCTCTTCCAGCTCCTCGGCATTCCTCAACATTTCTCCCAAAAACCCACAGCAGCTGAGCAGTTCCAGCCTCTGTTTACAGACAGCAGCAGCACAATTATCCCTCAGGAATAATTATCCCTCGCTGCCCTTCCCGGGCGGAATGATCTTCCTCAAATCCATTTTGTGCCCCAGCTCAGCCCTGTCTTAACTCCAGCATCGCGTCAGGCCGTGAATCATGAGCTGGGCCCAAACTGCAGCTCTCGGGCAGAGGATGATTAATCCCGGCCACTCAGCCCTTCAAATTCATAAATATTGCAGAAGTAGGACACACAAATAACTTCGTTCTCCCTTCAGCCAGCACAGCGCGGATTCCTCAATATTCCTGAGCCAGGCTGGGTTTGAATTCCTTGGATAATGAGAATTCTAACAGCTCCTTGGGGAGGTTCTCTCTGGGTGATCTCCAGTTTGGATGATTTCTTGATGTGCTGCTCAAACACTCCTTTGCTCTGCTTGATCCTAATTATTAGGATGAATCCATGTGGAGCAGCCTGGCCACATTTTCCCAGGATTTTTCCCTGTTGCTGACAGGGGTTGCTCCAAGGAAATGGTTTCCCGAAGGCTCCCAAGGATAGGGAAGTGACAGCAGCCCCCCAAAATCCCCAGGGAAGAGCTCAGCAGTGATGCCACCACTTGTAGGGGCTTTTTGTCCACCTCTGATTGTCCTGGAACCACGGAATACTTTGGGAAGGGTTCCATCCTGCCTCCATGGGCAGGGACGTTTTAACGGGATCAGAGCGCCTCTGAAGGATTTCTCTGTCTGCAGCTTCTTGCCTCTGCCAGCGGCTCTCTGGCATTTAATTAATCCGTCTGATCCGTTAATTAAGCTGGAATTTGATCCATCAGGACTTCAGAGAGCTCGAGTAGAACTGAAAACACCCCGAATACACAAGGAACGAACATATTAGGCTCAGGAAATTGTTGTTGTGGGGTTTTTTCTCATAAATAGCTGTCTTGTCCTGTCCCCATCCTCCTCTAGACTGCGCTGGACGATGGATCCTCTGGAATTACTCTGGAACTGCCACAGGAGAGCAGCTGGAAGAGTTCCTGTCTGGTTTTACTCTCTCCAGTGACAGGAATGTCTGGGGAGCAGAACAAAAACTCAGAGGACAGGAGAGCAGTGACCTCCTGCCACCTCGGCTCGCGCTGGATCAGCAGCCTGGGGAGGTCTCAGACGTTTGGTTTAAAACCTGGTTGGACAGAGATCAGATCCTGCTCACCATGGGCCACTGCCCACTCACAGGGTGACAATGTGACTTTAAATCGGTGCTACCGGAGTGCCACCGAGGCTTTTGTCCTCTGAGTGTCACCAGAGCTTCTTGTCCTCTGAGTGTCACCAAAGCTTTTTGTTCTCCAGGTGTCACCAGAGCTTTTTGTCCTCTGAGTGTCACCAGAGCTTTTTGTTCTCCAGGTGTCACCAGAGCCTTTTGTCCTCTGAGTGTCACCAAAGTCTTTTGTTCTCCAGGTGTCGCTTTTCCAGGTGTCACCAAAGCTTTTTGTTCTCCCAGTGTCACCAAAGCCTTTTGTGCTCCAGATGTCACCAGAGCTTTGTCTTCTCCAGGTGTCACCAGAGCTTTTTGTCCTCTGAGTGCCACCAAAGCTTTTTGTTCTCCAGGTGTCACCAGAGCCTTTTGTTCTCCCAGTGTCACGCTCCAGGAAACTTCTGAGAGTGTGAATTTATTTTAAAGCTTCTGGGTGCAGGAATAAGGGAACATTTCCTGTTTCCAGTCAGGGTCAGGAGAAATCATGGATTTGTCCTTTTCCAGCCTGGACAGTGGATCTGCTCCCGGCTGCAGGAATAAGGGAACACTTCTTGTTTCCATCTAGGATTTAAGTAACTTTCCATTCTGCAAAGCAGGGGCAGAGCTGCCCTTCCTTCCCTCTGGAGCTGCAGGAGCCCTGGGATGCCTCGGGAAGAGGCTGAGCCCTCCAGGGCTCTCCTTGTGCCACAGCAGCACCTGCTGGGAGACAGCAGCTGGCACAGCTGGGGACAGCCTGGCACAGCTGGGGACATCCTCCCTGCCCATCCCACCGGCAGCACCTCGCTGGCACATCCTTGGCTCATCCCTGCGCCTTTCCCGATGGATCTGAGCCTCTGGACCCGCCTCTGCCTGCTCATCTTTGCACAGGTGGTGGAAAGAGAGGGGATGGCCTCAAGTTGTGTCAGGAGGGGTTTGGTTGGATATGAGGGAGAATTCCTGCCTGGAAAGAGTTGTCCAGCTCAGGGCAGGGGTGGAATCCCCATCCCTGGAGTGATTTCAGATCCCTGTGGATTCACCTGGGTCCATGGGGCAGTGGTGGCCGTGGAACTGTTGGACTCAAAGATCTCAGAGGGTTTTCCAACCTGAACAATTCCATGACTCTCCATTTCTAACCTTGCTCACCCCGACTCACCATTCCCTGCTCCTGAGGTCTCCCTATATCTTTGGGAAGAAAACCTTCAAATTTATCCTTTCACCTCAATCCTTTTGATCTGGATTGCTCATGGACACAAATCCCACGTGCCCAGGCTGCTGTCTCACCGTTCCCCAAAACCTGGGGTTTATTTTTTTCCAGCCTGTTGCTAATTCCAGCTCCATTTGCCAGTGGAACAGACAGCTCAGAAATAATTAAATACCTGGGAGGTTGTGACAATAAACAGCTGGGCTGAAAAGGAGAAACCCTGCAAAAAACCCTCCCTGCACAAAGGTTTGGGGTTGTTCCTCCCTCTAATTAGAGAGTAGAGAATCAGGATCTAAATTTAGGGGGAGCTGGAGCCATAAATGGGGTGGGGATGGAGAAATTCTTGGTGGGACCCCATTGTTTTGGTCACTGTTTCTCAAATGTGTCCCAGAGCTGTATCCAGGCTTCAGATTTATGGCATTGCCCCTGGAATTCTTCATCCTTGAGCAAAGGTTTGGGGCTTTTTCTCCCTCTAATTAGAGAGTGGAGGATCAGGATCTAAACTGGGGGGGAGCTGGAGCCATAAATGGGGACAGAGAAATTCTTGGTGGGACCTCACCGTTACCCAAATGTGACCTGGAGCTGCAGCCAGGCTTGGGATTGATGGCATTGCCCCTGGAATTCTTCATCCTAATGGATGGTCTCGTCTCTCCTGTCCCCTCTGCTGCTTCCAGGAGCAACGTGAATAAATCCCGGGAGCCGTAATGAGCTCCCGGCTGCCTGGCAGTGACGGGTGCTGCGAGATGCCGCGGGAGCCCAGGAGTCAGGGATTTGAGGGGATCTTTCCATCTGGGACACTGACAGGGCCTCTCTTATCAGCTGTCACCACCCTCCTGGTGGTGCTCCTTATCTCAGCCAGGCACGGCTTTTTGCCGTGCTGTTATCTCTGCTTTTCTCAGGAAAAACCGATGGGAAAAGAGTGGGAATTGCTGCACCTGCACTGGGGATTTTTGTCTCTTTTTTCTCCAAAGAGGGACGCGCTTCCTGACTTTTTTCCCGAGTTCCCTCCCTTGTCCCAGCTGGAACCGCTGATTCCTGAGGCTGGGATTGGATAATTCCAACCCTTTGCTCTGGCACAGCCTGGAAATGTTGGAGTCTGGAAGAGGCCGCCAGTAGCGCGTGTCCAGGGATGGATCCACACGGACAATTTCCAGAGGGAAAACTCCCTCTGGGAGCCCCTCTGGGGCTGCAGCAGAGCTGTGTGGATTGGAGCAGGGCCTTGTCCTTGGAATATTGGGATCACAGGGATCTCAGGATAGCAGGGATCTCCTCCCAGGGCTGTGACCCATCGCGGGCAGTGAATCCCTGAGCCAGGGCAGTTTGTGATTCCCAGGAAAGCCTGAGGTGCCAGGAGCGGGGTTGGAGGAGCCTCCAGCATCCATCCAGCTGGGAAAGGCTTGGATCCAAACCGTCCCAGCCGGGAGCAGATCCACTGCACAGGCTGGAAAAGGACAAATCCAGGATTTTTCCTGATCCACACAGGGCTCTGTCACATTTGACCTCAGCTGAGAAGCCACACAGTCCAGGAGGAGGCTCCTGGCTGCAGGCAGGCCCCTTTCCCTATAAACTGTATTTTCCTTCTTGGAACACCTTTCTCCCACTTTGGTCCATGATTTCACAGCGCTCCAGCTCCCCAGGGAATTTTCCTGTGCTCAGAACCTGCTGTGGCACAAAAGGACATAACTGAGAATGAATAATGTTTTATTAATATTGGGAATGTTTTATTTAGCAGTTGTTATTTATTTCTTTTTAATTTTTCCAGGGATTTTTCTTTTTTTTTTTTTTTTTTTTTTTTAAGTATGAAACAATTTTTCCTTCCCTCCCCCTTGGAAAAAGCTCTTCCCGTGTCTGCCTGTCCCACCTGACAGGAGCTATTAAAGCCTTCCAAACAGCTGAAAGCAGCACTTTGGTTCCTGTGAAAGCCCCAGATTTCAGCTCTGATTCCCACCTGCCTTGTCAGGGCTGGAGACACCAAGCAGATCCCGCGGGAAAGCTGGAATTGCTCCTCACCAGGACGAGTCTGTTGTTTCTGCCCCTTGGGGGCTGAAAATTGCTTTGGAATGTTCCTCCTGCAGACAGGAGGGAGGTGCAGGCTGGGTTTGTCAGCGCTGCCATTCCAGGAAAGGAGCAGAGGGAAGGACAGGGAGGAGAGGAAAAGCTCCTGGAGGGGCTGTTTTCCCAAAGGAAATGTCTCTCCGTGCTTCAGGACAGAAAGTCCATGAGGAAAGATGAGTTTTCAGGAGGCACCAGAGGAAAAGGAGGGTGGGCAGAGTTTAAATCAGGATTTTCCCTCTCTCAGCCCACCACACAGCATTCCAAGCTTTTCCCAAGCAAGGCAGGAACAGCTCCCACTGTCCCAATGTCCAGCCCCAGTGTCCAGTCTGGCCTTGGGCACTGCCAGGGATCCAGGGGCAGCCACAGCTGCTCTGGCAATTCCAGCCCAGCCAGCAATTCCCAATTCCCAATCTCCCATCCATCCCTGCCCTCTGGCACTGGGAGCCATTCCCTGGGTCCTGTCCCTCCATCCCTTGTCCCCAGTCCCTCTCCAGCTCTCCTGGAGCCCCTTCAGGCCCTGCAAGGGGCTCTGAGCTCTCCCTGGATCCTTCTCCTCTCCAGGTGAGCATTCCCAGCTCTCCCAGCCTGGCTCCAGCCCTGGAGCATCTCCATGGATTCCTCTGGATTTGCTCCCACACATCCACACCCCTATCCTGTGTCCTTGGCCATCACCAGCTCACTGTGAGGTGTTCCTGCTCCCTGGGGCTGCCCCACCCTGCTGGAAATGATTCCAGAATCCCTTTTGGAATTGTTAATGCCAGTTCCTGTGGAATAAACACCACTTTGATGAACCTCCCATGACAGACCCCTGCTGCATTTTGGGGTCAGGCCTCCCGTTCTGAGGTGATTTCTCAGTTGCCACAACCCTTCCTCACTCACAGCCATTTATCCATGGGCTGGATGAAAGTCAGCAGCCGGGCTGTGAGGAAAAAGTGGGATTTAGCACCAAGTAATCCTAAAAAGGAAAGCAGAGGTGGCAGTGGGGAAGTGAGCGGTGGTGGGAGAGCGCCGGGGAGCACCGGGGCAGCGTCAGGGACACACGGGGAGGACACGAGTGTCACAGCAGGGCTGGGAAATCTCCCCTGAGGCTGCTGAGAACCTCACCCCGCAAACCTGGCAGCTTCCAACGACTCCAGCAACAACAACAACAGCGGTGCCTGACTGTTGGCCCCTCTCCTCTCCCGTTTCCCAGTGCCCCCCAACCTGACGGTCCCGCAGGAGAAGTCCCCGCTGGTGACGCGGGAAGGGGACACCATCGAGCTGCAGTGCCAGGTGACCGGGAAGCCCAAACCCATCATCCTGTGGTCACGGGCGGACAAGGAGGTGCCGATGCCGGATGGGGCCCTGCAGACAGAGAGCTACGACGGGATCCTGCGGATCGTCAATGTTTCCCGGGAAATGAGCGGGACCTACAGGTGCCAGACCAGCCAATACAACGGGTTTAACGTCAAACCCAGAGAGGCGTTGGTGCAGCTCATTGTGCAGTGTGAGTAAAACCTGATTTCCCTTGATTTTCTTTCTGTTGCGCTGAGGAAAAGTTGATTTATTCCTCCCCTAAACAAAGAGCAGCAAGAATCTTATGGCTGTTACATATTTGATGTGGGGTTGTTTGTCTCTGTAGTTCCCTGAATCCATGAATTCCATGTAAATATGGAAGTAAAAATGACATAGGACTCTCATTTCTGGTGAAAAAAAACCAAAAAAACACCAACAAAACAACAAAAAGCAAACCAAGTGTGAGGCAATCATTATTTTCCCCACAGCTTTGAATTCCTTGACACGGGAACAAGCGGATGAGATGGGAGGACATATTTCTCTAAATGCTGAGCTGATCCTGAGCTCATTTGTTGCTGCTGTGTAAAACAAGGAGGAAAAAACGAGGGCAAGAGCTGTTCCCTGGGAGCTGATCCGCATCCAGATCCAGCCTTCTCCGCTCTGCCAGCCAGCCTCGGGAATGGGGAGGGAAAAGGGGGGGAGTCGGTTATTTTTTATTTCGGAAACGTGCAGCATTTGTTGTCGGGACATGGAAAGCCTGGTTTGAGGCGGTTTCTGGGGAATAATGGGGGGGGATAATGAGCCATTCCTTGTGCTGAGTGACTTCCCAGGGTCTGCTGCTCTGTCAGGACTTAATTTGGGTGTTTTATGAAGTGCAGCCATCGCTTATTCCACTTTCAGATGCCCCAATCTTCTGTCACTTGGCTTTTTAGTGGCGCTCTGTGCTCAGCACCAGTGACCTCTTTTGGGGCCTCCAGGGAAGAGCCGCTCCTCACACGTCCTCAGAGCTGATTTGTTTTTCCTGGCTCTGCTTTGTAACAAATTATGGATGCATTGATTACGTGGCTGGGATCTGCAGGCCTTCCATCCCAGCTTTTTCCCGCTGCTCCAGGCTTAAATCCCAAAGCCAAGGCTGAAGGGAGGATGGAATCTTCTGCCTTGTGGGTTCCTCTGAGCTGTGGGGTTGGCTGTGTTAGGATTCATCCCATCAGAACTCGAGAACAAGGGGTCTGTGCCTCCTGTCCTTGGCTCAGTTGTTTCTTCCTGGAAATAAAGAGGCTCAGGGGGCCCTTGTGGCTCTGCACAAGTCCCTGGCAGGAGGGGACAGCCGGGGGGGTCGGGCTCTGCTGCCAGGGAACAGGGACGGGAGGAGAGGGAACGGCCTCAGGCTGGGCCAGGGGAGGCTCAGGGGGGACAGCAGCAGGAATTTGCCCATGGAAAGGGCGCTCAGGCCTTGGAAGTGCCCAGGGAGGTTTGCAGTGCCCATCCCTGGAGGTGCCCCAGGAATTGCTGGAGGTGGCACTTGGAGCTCTGGGGACAGGGTGGGCACCGGGCACAGCTGGGACTCAGTGACCTTGGAGCTCTTTCCCAACCTCAGTGATCCTGGGTATCTGTGAATCTGGGAATGAGAACCACCATAGAAACATTGGAGTGTTGATCCTTCCAAACAAGGAGGGGGGGAAGTCGCTTCTTTCCCCTTTTCCTGGCATGAATTTGCTGTGAAAGGGAGAAAATATTTTGTGGTGGAGGAATTCCAACAGCTTCACACTTACTCAGGACCTGGAGCAGTTCCTGGTGGATCCCATGGGATGACTCTGCTGACTCTCAGATTCTGGGGATGCGTTGCTTGGGTCGCTGTTATTCTCCCACCTTTTCCTGTTGCCAAACCCCCTCGTTTTGAAGCATTTTTGTTCTGCTTGAGAGGCAGAATTTTCCTAATTCCCAGAGAAGAGACACAACCTGAAAACGCTTCCAAGAAGTAGGATTTCAACAGGTATTTCCAGGCGCTTTTCCTTTCATCTCTCTGTGTTTAGAATTCGCTCCCTTTATTCACATCCTGGCAAGTGACAAATTGGAGATGAATGGAGAAAAATTATGGAAAGCTTTGATTATTTTTCCTGTGGGAGGAAAGTTTTTGTTCCCAACGACTTGAGCAGCGTTTCTGTACCGAGGGTGGCATTTAACCAATTGTCATAAAAACCAGTTCTTTTCAGAATTTGGGAATATTTATCCTAGATCTTTCCAGCAGTGATGAGCAGGGAAAGATATTTAATGGAGCACTTTTATTTAGAGAATAACTCATGGATTTCACTGTGGATGTGCTGAGTGAGGTTATTCCCATTCTTTGGAAGGTTCTCCTTGTGACAGCAGGACTTTGTCTCACTGAAAGTGGTTAATTAATCTGTTTTCAAGGAATTATGGAATATCCTGAGTGGGAAGGGACCCACAAGGATCTCAGATCCAACCCCTGGCACTGCACAGACACCCCAACAATCCCATCCTGTGCTGCCTTGGGAATGTGCTCATTCCCTGGGAAGCTGTTCCGGTGTTCTACAGGGAAAACCCTTCCATGGAATTCCTGCTCCAGGTCACATATGTTGTGTCACGCTAAAGAAAAATTAAAAGTAAATTAAAATATAAAGGATTTTTTTTTTTAATTTTTATCTGACCGTCTCATCTAATGAGTTTTTTGTTTTCCTCACCTCCCTTTTCTGCTGCCATCCCTTTATCCCATCTCAGTGATGTCAGGATCCCAGCCTGGAAGTTCTCCGTGAAAATTGTGGATTTTTGGTCTTGGTCACAGTTTGTCCTTGAGCTGTGGTTTAAGATTTTTTTTATTAGTGCGTGTTTACCNCCCTCCCCCCCCCTTATTACTGAAGATTTGAGTGGGAAAAGCTGATTAATATTCAGGACAAATATTATATAACCCAATCCATTCCCAGGCTGGTGCATTTATCACTTTCTGAATGAATTCTTCCTCTAGAGATAAAAGTTGGGTTTAATTTGGGCTGTTTGTGGTGGGAGAAAGGACGGCCTGAAAACAAGCGTAGAACTGGGTCAAATTTTTTTAATTCTTTAATATTTTTTCCCTTCTCTTCCAATGAAAAAATGACCTTAAGGACTTGAAAATACCAAAATAATGGTGCTCCCATTGCTTTTAAAACGTTGATTTGCTCTCCAAAGTGGTTTTCTCCACCCTGGTGGTTGTATCTGTGGAATTCCACATTCCCACCCAAAGGATTTTCCCAGGTTATGGCTGAGGTTGATGCTGCTAAGCTGAGCTTAAAACTTCAACCTTCCAGTGGGGATATTGATTGCTATATTTATTTTATATATAAATACAGAGAGATTTAGGCACTCCCAATGGATAATTCCCATACTGTGGTTTTTAACCTATGGATCATTCCCCAATCCTTAACTCCTAGTGCAGAAGCTTCCCAAAAAACTGTAAAACAACAAAATCTATTCTCTAAGATCCTCATCTGATCAGGGCCGGTTTCAGAATAACCCAGAGGCAACGATGGCTTTGGGTGTTATTTATCCACATGGAGCAAGGCAGGGAAAAAAATATGGAAATCACGGGTGGCTGGATCGGGAAAGAGAAATCCCAGGAGCTTTTTGACATTTAGCAAGGTCAAGGGCAGAGTGAGTTTGGTGACCCAGGCAGATGATGAATATTCAAACCCTGGCGCCGTGGAAAATTTAAATGAGAGCCACATAATTTGAATTTTTTCATATCTTATTCTAAAATTATTATCACAGACAGGCCTTCCTGTCAGGAATCAAAAAAAAAAAAAAAAACCCAGAGCACTCCAAAAGCTGGATAAACAGAGATGGGTTTTTTGATGGGGGGAAAATGGAATTATTTATTATTTATTATTTATTGGGGTTTTTTTGGGGGGGAATTGGTCTTGGGGAGGATAATCCTTCTCTGTCTGAGGGCAGGAACAAAGGGTCTTCCAAACAAAAATGGTTTTGGAAGAAGGAAAAACGAGTGGGAAGAGATGTGAATATTCCATATCCATATTTAAAATAGGAAAGATCAGAGGTTTGGTTGCTCCAGACCCCATCCAACCTTGAACACTTTCAGGACCGGAGCAGCCATGGCTTCTTCTTCAATTCCCAATTAATTACAGGTTAAGAGGTTGGATTTGAAGGGAAAAATGGGAATTCCAGCCCAAAAGGGTTGAGGGAAATCCAACAGTTATCATGGGAAGAAGGTGAACAGCAGGATCACAGGGAATGTCGTGGCTGGAATATAAAGGAGTCACAAAAACCAAGGACAGCTCAACACCAACCAGGGAAAGGTAAATTGGAATAATTAACTTGTCCTTGTAGTTAATTTTTAACAGCAGAAGATGCTGAGTAAATACAATTCCTTTGTTGTCCTGTAATACTTAGGAGATTAATTCCCATAATTACACAAAATATGGATTTCAACAGGACTCCGGTTGCAAAGTGCAGCATTAAAAATTAAGATTATTTGGATTGACGCAGGACACAAACAATGCTGCCCATGGATGCTGCTGGAATTTGTCCCAGCTGATTTTTTTAGCTCCATAAATCCCTCTCCTCCTGTCTCACTTTCCAATATTCAACTTCGTGCCTGTAATTGCCTCATAAAGCAGAGTTTGGAAGGCAATCCGCAGATTTAAAGACAAGCTGCTGCTTTCTCCGTTCTCCCTCCCAAATCCTTTGGATTTTATTCCCAATCCCAGCGTTATTATTCGGACCTGCCCCAGCCCTTAGTGGGGAGGTTTGCCAATCATTTTGCCTGTGGAGCTGGGAATGGTGTCAGCAGGAAGATTCCTTCCAGCAGGAATGAGCTTAAACCTCTTTGTGTCCCACAAAATCAGGTTTTCCAGGGGAGATGGGCCAGAGGGTGTTGGATTCAGTACTGGAGGTCCTGGATGCAGGGAATGCTGGCAGGGTCTGTGGGAATTATGGTTTGTTGGAGATTTTCTTTGGGTTCCACCAGGCTTTGAGGAGCCACATCAGGAGTGAAATCACTGAAGGCAAGAGGAGTCTTGAGTTGAATCACTGAGGTTGGAAAATACCTTTGGAATCATCAAATCCAACTGCTCCCAGCACTTCCAAGGCCACCACTGCCCCATGGCCCCAGGTGCCACAGGGCCTGGAAATCCCTCCAAACCTCCCTGGGCACTTCCAAGGCCTGAGCGCCCTTTCCATGGGGAAATTCCTGCTGCTGTC